TTTTTAACACTGATCTTACATATCTTACATATCTTACACACACATCTTCAGCTGTACTGGATATTACAGAATTGTTTCAAAACCAGTTATACCATTTTTCACTCCCACCAAAGGTGGATGAGTTCCACACAGTGACATTCTTACCAATATTTGCTATTTTAATACTTTTAAAATATTGTCATTCTAATGTGTATTAAATATTACATTAAGTGGAAGTTACCTGATTACTAGTGAGGTTGAGGACATTTTCATATATTTATTTTGCACTCAGATATGTTCATCTGTGAATATCTGGTTCATATCCTTTGCGCGTTTTTCTGTTTGTTGTTTGTTTTATCTTACTGATTTGCAGATGTCTATACTGCAAATTAGTCATTTGCTGGTTATGTTTCCCAGTCGGTTACATTGGCGAATAGGATTGCTGTTGATTTTTTATATGACTGTTGTGTACCTAGAAAATGTTATCGTGTTTCCTATTATTTCTCACCATTATTTACACATTTTCTTATATTTGTTTTATGCTGACAGTTACATGATCTTCATTTAGGACACTTTTTGTCTATTTTCAATTCATGTAATTGCTCTTTGCAAAATTGTCTTATTGAACAGTCAAGAAACATAAGCACAAAGTTTTAAATAGTTGGAAACAATAAGCACCCAAGCATAACAGACACATGCTTTTTTACCGTTTCCTTGATTTTTGCCATTTTATTATATTACCATATTTCTTAAATTTTCTTTAAATTTACTCTGTTTATCCAATTAAACAGATATTTGATTTAAATTCTTCACCATTTATATTTATTACCTCTAATTTATAAGTAAATATCTTTAGGTTACAAATTGACCACAAAGTACCACCTTAGATGTATGTTATATTATACTTTTATTGGCATTCCATTCTACCTTGTTTGTGTGGTGATATATGCTACCTTGTTTTTGTGGTGGCATATGCTGTCTTGAGTCAAAATTTCTATATACATGAATGTGTTTTAGGGTCTGTTTTGATCTATTTGCCTACCTTGCAGCATGTCACACTGACTTATTTACTATAGCTTCACAACAAATTTTGATATCATGTAGGAAAATTCCCCTAAACTTGTTCATCCTCAAAACTATGTTAACTACTCATGGCTATTCTATATATATTTTAAAACCAGCAATATTAAATTCCACAGAGAAGTTGGCCTTGAACTTTATTTACAAACCAATTTGGAGCAAATGACATGTGTATGGTATTTCTTTCTATCCACAAATAGCATATATTTCTCAATTGATCTAGGCTTACTTTAATATTGTTTAGAAAATGTTACAATTAAATTTCCCAATAAACATCATGTATATCTTTTGTTAGGGTTGTTCTTTGGTTCTTATATTTTTTGATGATTTTATAAATAATATATACTATTTATATTTTACTTTTGAACTGTCTGTGGCTGGTGTTTATAATGTAACTGTATTTTGCTTATTGATAATATAGAAAGTCTGCTAAACATTCTTAATTCTAAAAGTGCATATAACCTAGGTGGTTTAGTTAGACAATCATATTATCTACATGTAAATGAGTTTGTTTCTTCATTTCTTCTTTTATAATACTATAACTTTTTTCACTGTCTAGGCTAAGACAAAAAGTTATATTGACTAAAAATTGTGATAACAGAAAAACGTCTCTACATTCTGACTTTTAAGAAGATAGTTCTAACATTTCACTGTTAAATATTACCTGCTGTAGAGTTATGGTATATATTCTTTGTCAGTAAAGCAATTCTCTTTTATTCCTAAATTTTCAAGCACTTTAAAAATCATGAAGTGTTCTGAATTTAACCAAAGGATATTTTGTTATCTATGTAGATTATTATACTTTCTCTTTCTTCATTAGTTTGTCAATAGATATTTTAATATTAAGCCATCCTTCAATTCCTAGGAAATTTTTTTATTATTTTGATATGTTTATATCTATGATTGCAGTGAAATTCTTCTATATTGGCTCTTGTACTTAATAGCTAATATTTCTGACACATATATACTGTGTAATAATCTGTATAAGATTATAATTATCTGTTGTAATTTGTGCAAATATGTGTGAACTCACTTGTCACCCACCTAGTGTTCTCCTTTTGGGAAGTTTTAAGCTAATCATTTGATTTCTTTAATGGCTAATAGGATATTTATGTTTTCCTTGTCTTCTTGAGTCAATTTTGATAATTTATATTTCTTGAGAATGGTCTTGCTTACTGTTCTCTGAGAATCTTGGGTATGTCACTTTGCTGTCTTCTATTATTTTGGACAATTCTTAGCCTTAAGTCTTCAAATTTTTTTCCTGCTCTCTCTTTTCTCCTGGGAATTACTCATGTTTGACCATTTTATATTGCCCCATAGTTTTTGGATTCTCTTTTCTATTTTTTTAAATTTACTGTTATTTTTCTCTTTGCATTTATGTTTCCATTGAACTATCTCCAAAATCTTCATGGAAGGAATATGCTTTGCAAGGATAAATTTCTTTGCTCGCTTGATGTTAGGCTTGGACATACACCTTACCTTGGTGATGGATTGCATGTGGAAGTGTTAGTTACCAGTTTTGAGCCTAGGCATTAGAGGCATATACTATTTCTGCTTGTCCACTTGAGGCTATGAAAAGAATACATCCTGGGAAGCCCGGTGTTGGATTTGACCCATGGTCTGGAGACAAGCCCATCTAAGCCCAACCTATATCAACTAAAACTCAACTGTCCTACATACGAGCTAGAAATGATGCTTGTTGCTGTATGGCACTAAAGTTTCTGGTGGTTTCCTAATAAGAATTATGTTAAAATTATGAAGTGGTACACTGGATCATAGGCTTTGCATTTGTTTAACTTTAGTAGTTACTGCTAAAAGATTTTCCAAAGTTCTTATATAAATTTATACATCAACCAGCAGTGTAACTGCTTGACTTTTTTGCCAAAACTTGGAGTTGTTTAGTCTTTATGGTGACAAAAAAGACTACCTTTTTATTAAACACACAAAATACGAGAGTATTATGTAATTTTAAGTCAGTTTCTAAAATTTAATATATTCTAATAAAGTTGTAACAGCAGTAAATAAATATTTTGAAAATCAAGCTGGTATCACTCTATCTAGAAGAAAATTAAGTGAAAGTACTTTTCATCGTAGAAGAGAGACAACTGCTGATGTCCTAACTAATTCAAGAACAACTTATAAAATTTTCTAAAGTTGTTTCCAGAAAATCAGTGGCAATGGGTTGGGACACACCTACTTCAACAGGGTAGAGTCTATGTTATATGTTGGTTTTATTCATTGCAATTGAACTGCACCTGTACAGTGTGCCATTCTTGTCTTTAGCCTTAAAGGTAAAGAGAAAGTCTTTTGTTGCACCAGTTTGAAGTAACTCTGAAACAAGGCTCCCTTTATTATAGTATCCATTCACATTATAATATTCATTCACATGAAAGAGTTCGTAACTGCAGTAAAAAGACCAAAAGAATATAGGATTTCCTGGTCACCATTTTGGGTGGATTTGGTTAACTGTATAAAATGAGGGATAGGGACTTCCCTGGTGGCACAGCGGTTAAGAATCCGCCTGCCAATGCAGGGGACATGGGTTCGAGCCCTGGTCCGGGAAGATCCCACATGCCCGGGAGCAACTAAGCCCGTGTGCCACAACCTCTGAACCTGCGCTCTAGAGCTGGCAAACCACAACTTCTGAAGCCCACGTGCCTAGAGCCCGTGCTCCGCAACAGGAGAAGCCACTGCGATGACAAGCCCGCGTGCCGCAACAGAGAGTAGCCCCAGCTCGCTGCAACTAGAGAAAGCCCGTGTGCAGCAACGAAGACCCAATGCAGCCAAAAATAAATAAGTAAATAAATAAATATTTTTAAAACAATGAGGGATAAATACTCAAAAGCATGATCTGTTTAACAAGATTTCTAGGTACATAAGAATGCAAAATATAAAATGTTCTAAAATATTCACTGATCACCAAGCATATAAAATTGACGTTAAACTTATGTTAACTAGATTCCTTCCACTTCTTCAGTGGTTCTATGAAGAGCTCCTTATCTGCTGCCAGGGGTGGGACCTTTGACCTAATGGAAAGGCAAGTACTTCTGGTAACAAGCTCCGATAGCCTTTACTAGGGTCCACCTCAAGAAGGGAAAAATCACTCAGGTAAAAATCTTTGGGGGACTTCCCTGGTGGCGCAGTGGTTGACAGTCCGCCTGCCGATGCAGGGGACGCGGGTTCGTGCCCCGGTCCGGGAAGATCCCACACGCTGCGGAGCGGCTGGGCCCGTGAGCCATGGCCGCTGAGCCTGCGCGTCCGGAGCCTGTGCTCCGCAACGGGAGAGGCCACAACAGTGAGAGGCCCGCGTACCGCAAAAAAAAAAAAAAAAAAAATCTTTGGGGTAAGTTTAGGTACCTAGTTACCACTGCATGCACTCGAATTAGATTGACTTCAGCTGTTCTTGGAAAGAATTCCAGTGCAGTCACTCAAGTTTTGGTTCTCTTTTACATAGCTGCATTCAGAGGCATGAAGCAATGTTTAGGGAAAAAGTGATACTTACACCTGAAATTTATATTTTTCCAAGTAACCTTTTGGTATTATAGATGCAGGAAACCCCCAGGTGGTAAAGCTATATATGTTCATGGTAAGTGCTATGGACTAAATTGTGTCCTAGCTAAAACCTAAGTTAAAACTCTAACCCCCAATGTGACTGCACCTGGATACAGTCTCTAGGAGGTAATTAAGGTTAAATGAGATCATAAGGGTAGAGCCCTAATCTGATAGGACTGTGGCCTTATAAGAAGAAGAAGCAAAACAGAGAGAGCGAGCGCTCCTCCTCCAGTTGTCTCTTTTGCTTTCTCTGTATGAGGACTCAGGGAAAAGGCAGGCGTCTACAAACAAGAAAGTGAGTTCTCACCAGAAACCAAATTCTGCCAGACCTTCATGTTGGACTACCCAGCCTCCAGAACTGTGAGAAAATAATTTTCTGTTTGAGCTACCTGGTTTAGGGGATCTTGTTTTAGCAGGCCAAGGTAACACAGTAAGTCTACAGTCCGGTGTTGATGTGTAGAGCAGTTTGGACCGGCAAAGATGAACAGTGTCATTCAGGAGGGGTTCCAGCCCATCGGCTTATCCTTGCACACCTGAACAAAGCAGTAGATCAGACACACCATGCTGTTAACTTGTTGAAACTTGGACTCGATTCATATGATTCAGTTACAATCTAAGTTTCTCATCTTGGTATTATATTTGCAGATTAGTTGGTACAGCTGACGTTTTAACAGATACTGTTAATAGGTAGTCTGAATGCGAACTGTCTCTAGCAAGTTCCTTCTGGTGACTTTTTAAATTTCTCTTTGGCTTCATTAACAGTCATACTGCTCCAGTATTATTCTGTTTGTACTCTCACAGGGCCTTTCCCAGATGTACCACCTCCTGGGACCACTCCTCGGCTGACCCCAGGTCCCTCCCTGGCTTTAGGCCCCTTTTATGCCATTCTTGGAGAGCTCCAGGCACTGCAGGGTTATAGGAGATGGGTCCCTTTGGCAGAGACAGGTGGTCATGGAGCTGGGGTCAGAGAGGGGCATGCCTCCTTCCTGGAAGTTACTGGGAACCCCCAAACTAGTCTCTGCAGTGTGTCCTAAATGGTGGGGAAGGCGGGAGGGGACGGTGAGCTGCTCATTCTTCCTCCCCAGGTCCAGGCAGACTGATGGCAAAGTCACCCACAGCTCACCTGCTGCCAGCCTCTGCCTGGGCACCACCGGTGTGGGGCCTGAAGGTGCAGGAGTTCCTAAGACTGTGCACCCTGGGGTCCGGTGCCCACCTTTTGGAGCCCAGGCAGCCGCAGGTGGCTGAGAGCCAGTAGGGTCATGCTGCAGGGGGAAGCCAGAGGCCCAGGAGCGATGGCTGTGGCCTATGCAGTTGATTTTTAATTACACATATTGACACACTGCCAGTTTGGGCATTGTTTCTTAAATTCTATGACTTGCTTCTGAATTCACATTCCTTTTCTAGCTGAAATATCTCTCTTCTAATTGTTATTTTCATGATAATCTGTGGTTAAGCTCTCTCGGTTTTTATCTGAAATCATGTTTCTCCCTGACTATTAAGGGTAAGACAATCTTGGTTGAAGTAATTTTGATGTGCTATCCTGCCGGACCGTAAGGAGAGATTAACATCAGTTCTAATGATACATTTTCTAAACGGATTTAACAAAGGTACAAAGAACAGGCCTTAAAAAAGGTCAGTGTTTGAAACTGGTTGCTTTACTCATCCCAGAATTTTGAATCAAAAAAGGCTGTTCCAATCAGAAAAGGCTGCTCTAAGTATGTATATTAATTCAACAGATACTTCGTGTGAAATAATCATGCTTGACATAAAAGGGGAGAGGGTAAGACTATTCTATGCTCAAGAAGAGTATATCATCTAGGGATAGGAAAGTACTGTAGAACAGGTGTCAGAACAGGTAGAGATAATCTACCGAGGATATTCAGCAAATCAGTGGTGTCAGGCAAACACTGCTTCTCCTACTTACAGGGTATGAGATCTTAGATAAGTTACTTAACCTTGCTGAGATTCTGCTTTTTTTCCATTTTTTTAAGTAATGGATGAACATATCGTTCACTTGATAGGATTGATATGATCATTCAATTTAATGGGATGAAGTCCTTGGCTCGACATAGGTATTTGGCCAACAGCAGTTTTCTTGAGTGGGACATTCAACGGGCAGATGCTAAAATGGGAGGAAACCCAAAATGGAGATCTTGGCTTGAAATACACCAATACAGGTCACCAGCTGTTAAGGAGTGCTGCGTATTTACAACAATTTTCCAGCACCATTAGTATTAATCTTGCAAAGTTTTACCTATCAAGTAACCCCAAATTATATTTGCTTTAGTTCCTGTTTCCTTAATTACAAATACAGTTGATCTTCTTTGGGTTTTTGTTTGTTTAGGGTTTTTTGGTTTCACCTATTTGTTTTATTAAAGTATAGTTGATTTATAATATTATATGAGTTTCAGGTATATAATAGTGATTCAATATCTTTATAGATTATACTCCATGTAAAATTATTACAAATATGGCTATATTTCCCTGTGGTGTGCAATATATCCTTGTTGTATATTTATTTTATACATAGTAGTTTTTACCTCTTAAACCCATACCCCTATCTTGTCCCTCTTCCCACTGGTAACCACTAGTTATTTCTCTGTATCTGTGAGCCTGTTTCTGCTTCATTATACATATTCATTCGTTTTATTTTGTATATACCACATACATGTGATAACACACGGCATTTCACTAAGCATAATATTGTACTTTCTAGGTCCATACACATTGTTGCAAATGGCAGAATTTTATTCTTTATTATGGCCAAGTAATATTCCTGTGTGTGTGTGTGTGTACCATGTCTTCTTTATCCAGTCATCTGTTGATGGACACTTATATTGCTTCTATATATGGCTATCATAAATAATGCTGCTGTGAACATTGGGTTGCCTGTATCTTTCAGAATTAGTGTCTCTTTATACACTAATTAGCGTATCTTTCAATCCCCTCACTTTCAGTCTGTGGGTGTCTTTAGCTCCGAAGTTTTTCTCCTATAAGCAGCGTATAGATGGGTCTTGATTTTTATCCAATCAGCCACCTTATGTTTTTTGATTTGAGCATTTAGTCCACTGACATATAAAATTATTATTGATAGGTATGTATTTATTGCCATTTTATTTCTTGTTTTCCTATTGTTTTTGTAGTTCTTCCCTGTTCTTTTTTATTTCGTTGTCTTTTGATGACTTTCTTTAATGGTATGTTTTCCTTTCTCTCTAGTTTTTGTGTTTCTATTGTAGGTTTTTTATTTGTGGTTATCATGGGGTTCATATATGTTGACCTATATACCTACTTGTTTTAAACTGGTAGTCCTTTAAGTCCAAACACATTCTAAAAGATCTACATTTTTACACCTCTCTCCCACATTTTGTCTTTTTGATGCCATATTTTACATCTTAATGTTTATCCCTTTACTGATTATTGTAGTTACAGTCAATTTTATGTCTTTTAATATTTGTACTAGCTTATTTAAATGGTTAATCCACAGCCTTTACTGTATTTTTGCCTTTATTAGTGGGATTTTTCCTTTCCTATAGATTCTTACTTCTTTTTACAGCCTTTACTTTTCCACTTAGAGAACTTTTAACATTTCTTTTAGAGTCAGTTTAATAGTGGTGAACTCTCAGGTTTTGTTTATCTGAGAAGTTTTTTATCTCTTCTTCAATTCTAAATAATAATCTTGCTGGGTAGAGTATCCTAGGTTGCAGGTTTTTCCCTGTCAGCACTTTGAATATATTATGCCACTCCCTTCAGGCCTTTAAAGTTTCTGCAGAAAAATTAGTCGATAGCATTATGAGGGTTCCCTTATGTATGACTTTGTCTCTTGCTGCTTTTAAAATTCTATCTTTAACTTTTGACATTTTAATTGCAATATTTTTTGGTGTGGTTATATTTGGGTTCATCTTGTTTGGACCCTCTGTGCTTCCTGTACCTGGATATCTGTTTCCCTCTTCAGGTTTGGGAATTTTTCAGCCATAATTTCATTAGATACATTTTTGACCCCCTTGTCTTTCTCTTCTCCTTCTGGGACCCCTATAATGTAAATGTTGGTATGCTTGCTATTGTCCCAGATATCCCTTAAACTGTTCTCATTTTTCAAAATTTGTTTTTGTTTGATGTTCTGACTAGATGATTTCTATTCAGTCTTCCAGATCACTTGAGCATTCTTCTGTATCACCTAGTCTGCGTTAATTCCTTTGAGTGTGTTTTTCATTTTAGTTATTGTATTTTTCACTTCTGAGTTATTCATTTTTGTTATCTTGTTCCTTGTTAAAATTCTCACCGTGTTCATCTATTCTTTTCTTTCATTCAGTTAGCTTTCTTACTACTAAGGCTTTGAATTCTTTACCTGGTAAATTGATTATTTGTTTCATTTGGTTTATTTTTTAGGGGTTTTCTATTGCTCTTCAATTGAGACAAATTCCTCTGTCTTCTCATTTTGCTTAACTTTATCTCTAGGGCATGAGGTGAAACAGTTTCCTGTTGTGGTCCTGAAGGGATGTCCTTATGTGGGAGCCTCCCTATATAATCTGTGTGTGCACAGTGGCTTTGGTGGAAGAACTGGCCTTGAATGAACATAATTAAAATCTTTCCTCAATGTGTGCTGGCACCTATCACCTTGGTAGAAGGTGGTGCTGAAAATGGAGGGGCTAGAGTCAGAGCCAGATGTGAGTCAGGGTTTCCCCTTTGGTCAGTAGCCATTATCACCCAGTGAGGGATGGGGACGGGTCCCATGTTGCTGGAGCAGAAGCCCTGAGGGTTGAGCCTGAGCTGGCTCTGTTCCCTTTAAGTGTGTGCTCTCCCCACCCTAGCATCTGCAACCTCACCCCCAAATGGGAACAGTTCTGGAGGAACAGGAGTGGTATGGGCACTCATGGTGGGTTGGGGCATTGGCTGTGGCACTTCAGCTGGGGTCAGAGACCCAGACGGCTTTGGATGCGCTACTTGTGTAAGCACCAGTAACGGCTGCCCCCACCTTACTCAAGACGCCACTTCAGGTCTGAGCTTCCTTTGTCCCCCACAGCTGAGCTCTCCCTTCAGCCTTTGCTGCCCTCATCCCAGTGTGGAACTGTGCCACAGGGCATTGGGGCCTGTGTGGGCTCTTGGCATGGATCGGGATGGGGCTGTCGTGGTCCAGCCACAGACAGAGATCAAGGCTGCTTCTGATGTGCTGCCTGTGTAAGTGCCAGTAATGCTGCCCCTGCCCCGCTCACATGTGGCTTTGGGTCTGAGCCACCTTTGTGTCTCAGAGCTAAGCTTTCGCCTAGGATGTGGCAGTCCTTGCCCCAGTGTGGAACTGTGTTGTGAGGCAGGCGGGGCTGGAGTCATCACTCAGCTCAGGCTGGGACATGTGCAGTGTCAGTCGGGGGAGGCCAGGCAGCCACTGGAGCGGCTCTCAGTCCACACTCTCCACCCTGCCTCAGCAGCAAGCAAGCACGCACACTTCTCATGAGCAGAGCCCAGGCTTCCCACAGGCCTTCTGTTAGTCCAGTGGCCCTCCAACCAGCTAATGGGGCTCATCTT